CACCAAATCAGCAATTCTCAATTTTTTTGGTTTCAGGACCTGTTTTCATTCTCAGAACTTAACCGAGGAGTCAAGAATGTGATCCACATAGTAGGGTACATGCCTTGCATGTGCTCTGAGTTCAATTAATTGCCTCTACTCCATCACCACCCAGTCTAGCAAAAGGTGTGACGCCCTTAACAAGAACAAATAAAGCTTACCAAGGGCTCCAATGAGCTTTCTATTAATGTGAACTGAGGGGTTTTTTGGGGGGGGTTTGGGTCATACCCTGCCACATTTAGGGCTTACCCTGGCTCAGAAATCATTCCTGGTGGTGCTTGAGGGGGGCCGTAGGTGGTGCTGGAGCTTCAACTCGATCAGCCATATGGAAGGCAAGCACCTTATAGTATAGCAAGATAGTGTTATATTATCTCTTTGGCCCTATGTGGATTTTTATACTTACTTTCCTAGAAACTGAAACTGAAAAAGTAAATGTTATTTTTATAGACAAGCCATTTTTGGCCTGGCAGTGTAGAACTAATGACGGTTCAGTGCCCAGCCAGTGCTGTGGCACTACCCTGGCAGATGCGTGGAGTCACCCAGTAGTGCTGGGAGGAATGCCAAGCTGGATATTGAATCTGGGGCATCATCTATGCCAAGTATGTGCTCCCATCCTTGAGCCATGTGCACATTCCAAAGTTTGTTTTTTTTTTTTACTTAAAGTAAAAAGCTCAGAGGGATAGTACAGAGGGTAGGGCATTTGCCATACACACAACTGTCCCAGGTTCAATCTGCGGCATCCTATATTTAGGTAGTTTTCTTGTTCATTTAATATAACAGCAGCAACCCCACCCCACACACGATTCTGATATGAAGCCAGAGACATAGTACAGGACTTAAGGTGTGCATGTGCTTTTGCATATGGGTAACCCTGGTTCAATCCTTAGCACCACAAAATTCTCTGGGAGCACTCTGGGCGTGGCCCAGGAGACCCCCACACCACCAGCAGGATGGTCTGGGTAGTCTCTGGCACAACATGTCCAAAAGGATCATATCACTAGGTCTTCATAATGTAGTGCCAACCTGGTCGGCCAAGATCACCCAGAAGGGTCCCTGGGCCTTCTGAGCACTGCTAAGCCCCCACCAGAAGAATTCTAGTATGAGTCTAATTTTTTGTTTGTTTTGGGGCTCACACTGGGCTGCGCTTGGGGCTTATCCCTGGCTCTGTACTCAAAGAGATCAATCCTGGTGAGCCTGGGAGACCATATGGGGTGGCAGGGATTGAACCCAGGTCATAACATGTGAAAGGTTTCATTCCTATGTTTCAATTTAATATTTAATGGTACTAAAAGACATTTTAACTCCCATTTCAAACCTGAAAAGAATAAAGGCATTAACTAAAAGTCACCAATTTTTATTTAAATTTTTTTAAATTATAAAAAAAATGCTTTGCAAACAAAGACAGGCTGTTGATTGAAGATCTTCCATGCTTGTAGAAGCTAGCTCACTAGACATTTTCATCTCTGACTTCTCCTTTAGAAAACAGGAAAACTTAAGTTATCAGGACCCCCGCCCTCTCCCCGGCTAGAGAACTCCAGAACCTCCGAAGGAGATCATTATCCCCATTTCATTAAAAGCTGCTAAGCAAATTGCTTCAAACCCATTCTTATCTAACTGCGCAATTTAGAAAATAACGGTCTTGGAAAAGCAGCGAGAGCGAGGCTCTTTTGGCGAGAACTAGGCTCTGAGCACAGGATGACCAATAACCGGGGTGGGGGGAGCACGCTGGGAGTGAGGGGGGGCTGGCAACCCAGAACAAAAGGACTTGATTCTGAGGCCAAGATTCCAGAAAGTTCCAAGCAACCACACTCTTGCCTGATGCCAGAGGAGACCTGGTGGGGGAGGGGGGAGTGGGCGGGTCTCTACAAGTATCAACTGTACAAAAAGACCAAAGGGAATTGTCTCCAGAAAGGAAGAGTCAAGAGCAAGCTGAGGACCGACTCAGATCTCAGGTCCTGCCAGCATGTTCATAGTGGCTAAGTATTCATTTAGGCATTTTCTTTGTCCATTTAACCTAAAAGCAGCAACCCCTCGCCACCCCCAATGCTAATATGAAGCCAGAGACACAGTATAAAAGTTAAGGAGCGTACATGCCTTTGCATATGGGTGACCCTGGCTCAATACTTAGCACCACAAAATTCTCTGGGAGCACTCTGGGCGTGACCCTAGAGGCCCTCACAACCCCAGCAGGGTGGTCTGGGTAGTTCCTGGCACATGTTCAGCAGGACGACCATATCATTGGGTCCTCATATTGCAGTATCAACCTGGTCAGCCAAGAATCATCCAGAAGGGCCCCTGGGCCTCCTGAGCACTGCTAAGCCCTCATCAAAATAATTCTGGTATGAGTCTAAATATTTAGTTTGTTTTGGGGCCCACACTGGGCTGCACTCAGGGCTTATTCCCGGCTCTGCACTCAAAGAGATCAATCCTGGCGAGCTTGGAAGATCATATGGGGTGGCAGGAATTGAACCCAGATCATCCATGCGCAAGGCAAGCACCCTACAACTGAACTCATCTCTCTCTCTGGCTCCTCTACCATTATCTAATGCTGTGTAGCAAAGCCCTGGGCTGAAAAAACTAAATGGAAACACTTTGTGGCTTGTTTTGCAATGCTAGGAATTGAACCCAGGACCTCATACATGCTAGGTTGTTCTACACCTGAACTTTGTCCCCGGCCTGAAGAACCTAAAGTGGACAACAGTACCTACGGGAGGAAACAAGCCAAACAAGGTAAGTCCTTCAACAACAGGACTTTTTTTTCTGAGGTTGTAAATGGGCTTTACCTGAATTCTTCCACTTACCTGGATAAAGTCATAGTGTTAAATACTAAAGAGGTGAGGAGATACAAAGTCTTAAAATACAAACATAGGTCAGAGAGCTCAACAGACTAGAACACACACTTTGCATGCAAAAAAAAGGCTGGGGCTCCATCCCCAGCACTGCATGATCCCCAGAGCACCACTTGAGAGAGAACCCCAAGCACTGAGCCAGCAGCAGCCCCAGATCACAACTGGGTGTGAATCAAAAATATGTTTTATAAACATGTACATTTATAATTATATTTAATACATATTGTATACATAATATACACCCAGAAGTAGTTCCTGAGCACTTCTGGATTTGGCCCAACAACCCTGGCCACCCCTTAATCCCGCCACGCCCACCCACAATTTGGTGAATCTCCTTGCTAATTTTTTTTTTTTGGTTTTTGGGCCACACTTGGTGGCTCAGGGCTTACTCCTGGTGGGCTAAGGGGACCACTGGAAATTCTGGGAATCCTAAGTCAGCCTCATACAAGGTCAAATGTTCCCTATCCTCTTTACTATTGCTCTGGCCCCAATGCTTTTAATTCTTCATCACCTCACATAAAAAGTGGGGGCTATGAACAGTAACTTGGGCATTACCTGAAGTTAGAAGACCTACAATGAAGAATTTATTGCAGGGTTTTTGAGCCATATTAACTCTCTAAAGCCTCTCTTAAGTTATTTGCTCAGCTTCTGGATTGTTCTATCAACACTCCACAGCCCATCTCAAAAGGAGAGCAACAAAATTAACAAATGCAAGATAAGAGTATGTCGATTTTTGTAGTGACCATAAACATTAAAGACTCATACCTGCTATTTAAATTTATGAACAAACCATAGCCGTCTTAAGACCCGTTAAATCATCAGTTTAAGGATCAAGTTAGCATTTTCACAGTAATGCCCAAAGCAGGACAATTCACAAATGCTAAGAGAAAACTTCTCTGTTTAAGGTTTCATTTCTAGGTTTCAATTTAATATTTAATGGCACTAAAAGACATTATAACTCACATTTCAAAACTGAAAAAGAATAAAGGCATTAACTAAGAGTCACCAATTTTATTTTTTTAAAAAAACTAAAAAAATTGATAAAAAATAAAGCTTTGCAAACAAAGACAGGCTCTTGATTGAAGATCCTCCATGCTTGTAGAAGCTAGCTCACTAGACATTTTCGTCTCTGACTTCTCCTTTAGGAAACAGGAAAACTTAAGTTATCAGGACCCCCGCCCTCTCCGCATCTAGAGAGCTCCAGAAGCTCCAAAGGCGATCATTTACCGCCCCCCCCTCGTTTCGTTAAAAACTGCAAAGCAAATTGCTTCAAAGCCGTTCTTATCTAACTCCCGCGATTCTCTTCCCCCTCTCCAGACAATAACGGAATGGAACAGGGGTTCCAAGAACGCCCGTCTTGGAAAAGCGGCGAGAACGAGAATCTGAGCACAGAATGACCAATAACCAGGGGGCGGGGAGTGGGGGGTGGGGGAGAGGGGCGGGGAGTGGGGGGCGGGGGGGAGCGGGGGGGGGGCGGGGGGCGGGAACCCGGACCCGAAGGAGGACTTGATTCTAAGCCCCCCCCCCCCTTCCCATGCGAGAAAGTTCCAAGCAGCGCCACGCTCTCGCCTGACGCCGGAGGAGACCTGGCGGAGGGTGGCGGGGGGGCGGGTCTCTACTAACGTCCGCATCAAATGTACAAAAGACGAAAGGGAATTTTTCTCCAGAAAGGAAAGAGTAAAAGCGATCTGGGGACCGACGCAGAGACGCCCACCCCCCCTTCCCCTGCCCCTTCCCCCCAGGCCGAATTAGAGAGGCGAGCCGGCGAGGGGCACCACGGCGAGTCGCCCCAGCGCCGGAGCCCCCGCGGCCCCGAAGCCGCCACAGCGCGGCTGCCTCCTCCAGGACGTCCCCTCCCCGGCCGGGGCCCCGGCAAGATGGTGGCCCACCCGCCGCCGCCGCCGCGCCGCCCGCGCCGTCCCCTCCCCCGCTCCCGGGGCCACCCTCAAGCGCCCCAGCTCCACACTTTTCCCCGCCGTCGCGCTCGGAGCCGAGCGGTCGCGGGCGCCCAGGGAGCTAAGCGGCCGCTGGCGCCACAAGCGCTTCGGGATGTGTGTGTGTGTGTGTGTGTGTGTGTGTGTGGCGCGATCGGCGGCCGAGAGGGACACTTACCGCACGCTAGCGACATCCGCCTGTCCGGGACTCGAACGGAGCGGGAGGAGGCTGGGGGCCGGCTGGTCCGCGAAAACGCCCGCCGAGGCCCCCCTTCCAAAGCAGAAACTGCCTCGGCGACTCCCAGCGAGCGACGAGTGAGCGCCGCGGCCGCCGCCGGAGTTTATATGCGCGCGCGCGAGGCCTCCTGGGTAAGTCGACGGCTACTCGCACGCTCGCCAACCCCACCCCCCTCCCCGCACATCCGGGTTTCTCGCCTTAATTGCTCGGAGACAGCCGGCGCGGACATGTGCGCAATCTTATAGGTCGTCGAAGGCTGAAACATTGTGGCAGTGGGCCGTGGTTGGGGGAGGCCATGTTCCAGCTGCGAGGGGCAAGCCCCGAAGAAAGTATCCAAGAACCTGGAAACGTGGACTCTGTGTCCTAACCTGTGCCTGGGGCTTGAGAGCACTCGCCTGACAAATTCTTTTTAAAAGGAATCATAAAAGCCCTGCGAGGGGATGTTACAGATCAGAGAAAAAAGAATGAACGTCACGCTTTTTTAACAACTGGTTGCTGTTGCTCCATTTGTTTTATTCTTTCTTTTTCTTTCTTTTTTTTTTGCATCTTTTGCTTGCATCTTTTTCCTGTCGTTGAAATGTCCATAGAAATTATTAGAATGTTAAGAAAAGGGCATGCATAAAAAAGAACATTTGCCGACGGACTGCTTAAACATTTTCTAAACTGGGCATTCTTTTAAGGGAGGAGGGGGCACACCCTGCGGTGCTCAGGGCTTATTCCGGGCTCTTAGCTCAGGGGATAAGCTCCTGGAGGGCTCAGGAGGGGTTGCAGGTGATTGAAACACGGGGCAGCTGCCTGAAAAACAAGCGCCCTGCCCCCACCCTCATATTATCTCTCCGGCCCCTGCACTCTGTGTTCTGAACCATAAATAAAAAGTATCTCTCCTCCCAAGCTATGAAACTAGCGGATTGTTGTGTCCCAGCTGCCAGATGTAAAATCTTATGTCAACTGCTCCCGTAGTACCGTTACATTGTTAGAAACCGAATCCTAGCAGTTCAAGCCGGTTTGCGCTGGTTTTTTCTTCGTCATCTCTCCTGCCCTTTGCTGTAGAGAAGGCCTTTTAGAATTCCCTGAAAACATGTTTTGTGAGAAAGGACAGGATAATCAGAAGATCCAAAGATGGAAAGCGAAAAGTTCGAAATCTTCAAGCACTTATACATTGCCATCCACTTCTGAACAGGCTAATAACTAAGCCCAGCACCTCTCGCATGTAGGCAGTGAGAAATCTAAAAGATGCGAATATACAAACTCTGGGAAAACTTTTCCTCAGAACCCCTCCCCCCTACAAAATGTGAAAGCTCAATATACCCGCTCTGTCTCTTATGGCAGCCAAGCTCTGTTAAGACCCCTCAGCTTTCCTGAGGAGTACTTTCCCTGGGAATTTTATTTAACCAGTAAAATTTCTTTAAAATTCTTTTTTGTGGCTTTTTGGGTCACACCCCGCGATGCTCAGGGGTTACTCCTGGCTCTATACGCAGGAATTACTCCTGGTAGTGCTCGTGGGGCCATACGGGACCCACATCAGCTACAGACAAGGCAAATGCCCTACTCTCTGTACCATCGCTCCGGCCCCAAATTTTCTTTGTATGTGGTCTCATGAACCTTTACAGTTCAACTAAAATGAGGAGGTGGAGGGCTAGAGCGATCTTACAGCGGGTAGGGCATTTGCCTTGCATGTGGCCGACCCGGGTTCGATTCCCAGCATGGTCCCCTGAGCACCTCCAGGAGTAATTCCTGAGTGCAAAGCTAGGAGTAACCCCTGTGCATGGCTGGGAGTAGCCCAAAAAGCAAAAAAAAAAAAAAAAAGAGGAGGTAGAAAGATCAGCCAATCTGTTCAATGGGATGAGCAGAAAAGTTTTATAAACCAAAATCAAATCCAATTTACTATGTTTTCATGGAAAAAATGTAAATATCAGAAATTTTTCGCTTTAGAAAAATGCACAGGGATCAGAGAGACAGTACAGCAGGCATAGTGCTTATAGCTCTGCACACGACTGACATAGGTTGATCCCAGTGCCACATCCAGTGCGCTGAGCCTGCCAGGAGTGATTCCTCAGTGAAGGGCTAGGAGTAAACCCTGACATCCCTCCCACCAAAAAACAAGGTACGCATGGAGCTTGGAGAGATAGAACAGTGGGTTGCCTTGCACACGGCAAGTTTGGTAATATCCCAGTACTCCTTGTCCCACCATGAGTGATCCCTGAACACAGAGTCAGGAGTATGCTCTAAGTACTCCCAGGTGAAGCCAGAACCCATATGTCAAAGTATACAAGTCAAATTACAATTAAAATAGTTTAAATGTCCAACAAAAGAATAGGGGTAGAGTCTAGGGAGTAAGGCACTTCGTTACACACCATCCATGGCACTGCATAGATTCCCCTAGGACCACCAAAAATGATTTCTGAGCACAGAGCCAGGAGTAAGCCCTGAACACAGCCAGGAGGTGTGCTTCCTTGCTGCATGAAAAAAAAAAAAAGAATTAACATGTGGAAAATTTTAAATGTTTAATACTTTACCCATAAGACTACCTCAAATTTCTAGAAAATTCATGTTGATTGGCCAAGAACTGGCCATGTGTCCTTTTTCTTTCCTTTCAGGACTGTCATTAAATGAGAATTTATGCCTCTATGGTCTGTTGGGGACTTTATTTTATTTGCTTTTTTGGTTTTTGGTTCACACCTGGCACTGCTCAGGGTTCATTCTTGCCTCTGTGCTCAGGATCACTTTCGGATGGGCTTGGGGATCATATATGGAATCAGGAATCAAGCCTGTGTTTATTATATGCAAGGCAAATGCCGTATCCACCGGACTCTCTCCACTCTGGGCTATTTTTATTGATATGTGTCCATATAAAATACATCCTCTCTGCTCCCATTCAGCTGTGTTATACAGAGAAACAAATCAAGGGCATAAATAATATCAGTTGATAATAAATTCTGGATGTTGGATTACAAAACATAAAATAGCTAGATGGGGGATGGGAGCAATGATGAGGTGAACTGAAGTTAGCAAAAGGTACTGGTGGAGGGTCTTGGGCACTTTGGTATGGTATGGTGAGATAACTGTATGCACCAAAATCACAAATACCAGCACTACTGTAAACATACAGCCTATAGGATACTAATTAAGTTTTTTTTAATTTTTTAATATTTTTGCTTTTTGGGGTCACACCCAGCGATGCTCAGGGGTTATTCCTGGCTTTGCACTAAGGAATTATTCCTGGTGGTGCTTGGGGGACCATATGGGATGCTGGGGATTGAACCCAAGTTGGCCGCATACAAGGCAAACACCCTACCCTCTGTTCTATTGCTCCAGCCCCCTAATTAAGTTTTTTAAATTCAATGTGGGGCTGGAGAGGTGTCAAGGAGCTTGCCTTGTATGTGATTATCCTGGTTTCTATACCTGGAACTACATACGGTTCCCCAAACAGTACCAGGAGTGATTTCTGAGCACAGAGCTAGGAGTAAATTCTGAGTGCCACTTGGTGTGGCCCCCAAACCAAAGATAAAAGAAAGGAAGGAAGGAAGGAAGGAAGGAAGGAAGGAAGGAAGGAAGGAAAGTAAGAAAGAAAGAAAGAAAGAAAGAAGAGAAAGAAAGAAAGAAAGAAATTTACTAAAGTTGATAGCTATATGGTGATTATGTAAAAGATTAAACATAGTATTGGGAAGCATATACTGAAGTATTTATTGGTAACTGGTTGATAATGCATTCAACTTATTCTCAAATGATTCAAAAATCATTCCATGTATCCATATATCTATGTATGTGTACACAATTGTTGATAGGTAGTATAGTTTGGAGTGCTATAAGAGAAAACAGATTCGGTGGCTTAAACAACAAGCATTTCTTTCTTTTAGTTCTGGAGGCCAGGAAGTACAAAAAGGGGCCCTGGCAGATTTGAGTGAGAACCTGCTACCTGACTCATAGATGGCCTTCTTGCTGTGTTTTGACATACAGAAGAGGTGCCTTTAGTATGTGTACTAATCCCATTCATCAAATTAGCTCCCAAAGGCCCCACCTCCTCATTCCATCACGTTAGAGATTACCATTTTAACATATGAATTGTAAGGGTGGCATAAATATTCAGTCTGTGGTAGAGAATCCAGAGGATGACAATGAAAATGGGATAAGTTGTCTCTTGCCGGTGAGATTGGCACCTTCAATTCCTGTCCAGCAGGGCGTCGATTGCAGAGAATGAGAGAAACATAAAAGGAGAATGAATCCAAGCTTCAGGATTGCCTGCGTAGCCCTGAGAGAGCTCACAGACAAGCCATTTTCCAGCAGGAGGTCGATTGCAGAGAATGAGACACACGTATAAGAAGACAAATCCAAGCTTCAGGATTGCCCGGGCAGCCCTGAGTGCGCTCACAGACTAGCCATTTAATCAATACAATATTGCTCCCCCACCACCATTTCAAACATGTGAGTTATTTATTGCTTAAGTGGACAGAGACATTAAGATTAGTTCGTAAGCACATCAAAATCCAAAGTCTAACACTAAGAGCAGAGACTATGATATTTCACAGTGCCAATCAGCAGGCATCCTTAAAGTTTAGAGTTAGGTATTAACTCTATTTAATATTCATATTAAAATGAATATTTCCTGTTCTACTTATACCCAATAAAAGCCCCTGAATTCTTTTATTCTATTCTTTCTTGGGTGCAGCTTTGCTACCCGTTTATCTTCTAGGGCCTAAAGTGTTTTTGTCCGGGAAGTATCTTGGGATTATAGTTAGGGGATGATTTCCCACATAAATTGCTGATAATATGGGAATTTGGGTAAAAGATATAGGGATGTTATTTGTACTATAATTCTGAAAGTATTTCTACAATAAAGGACTTCAATTCTATGCTTGCAACTTATTCTGGGACTAGAAGATAGTTCACAGGGCTAGAACATACCCTTTGCTTGCTGGAGCCACAGGTTCAATCCTCAGCAGTACATGGTCCCCAACCACTGTAGAGAGTAACCCCTGAACATCACCTATAAGTTATGGCCCCAAACACAAAAAAGTTATTTTCAAATAACAATAATACATT